CTTTGATGACGAAGGAAACATGGCGGGTGATTGAGCTCCACCGCGTAAACTACCGTTGTGGCGTAGACGACGGCTGAGGGATGACGAGAGAGAAAGTGAATGCGAAGATTTATCAACAGAGGTAGCAGCACGACCAGGGCTAAGGATAGATTTAGAAGAAAGGCGCATAGAAGAGGATTTAGAGAGGCGAGAAGTGAAGCAAATGAAGAGTTCACTTGTAGTTGTTGGAGTGCTAGCTGTTCTATGAGGTCTTTCTATGTCCATTTCTAATATTGATTGATAAGATATTTTTGGGTTTTTTATAGGTTTTTTTTTGTTTGTTAACTGGGTGAAATAATAATTGGGAGATTTAATTTTTACATGGAAAGATTAGAGGATTAAAGAGGGTGAAAAATGGGTGAATGGGTGAATGTGAGAATGAAGAAGAAGATGGGAAATGGCAGAGAGAGGTGGGAGTTGTTGGGTTGTGGGAGGTGTAAAATGGGGAGTAGTGGAGAAGTTTAACAGAGTGAAAGAGTACAAAAGGATGGAGTGAGGGAGGTGGGGGTGTGAGTGAGGAGAGAGAAAAGAGGGGGAGGTGATGAAAAGAATGGAGTTTGTCTTTGCATAGAAAGAAAGCATTCTAGGGGTTAAAGTATGGTTTTTGCCGTTTTCATGTTATTGCTCCTTAATCCTTATCTATGATTTAGACATCAACCCTTGTTCTTGGTTTTTCTTTTTCTAACTTGATATTCAAAAAAAAAAAATGTTTCTAATAAAGGTTAATGAAAGGTATCCAAATTCAAAACAATTAAATTAATCATAGTTAAACTAATAAATTAAAATGAGTTTTATGTTCAACAGAAATTTGAATGAGTTCGGATAAGATAGATAATTTCATAATACACACTTGCACCTCTATATAGGAGAACTATTAAGACTAAACAAGTACTTTTGTCACCTATGTTTTGCTTGTATGGATGTTCTACAAAATTTATATTTCGTTATACATAATTTTAAAGGGAAATTTACAATGGATATAGATATATATATGCTTAATTATACAAATTAAGTAAATAATTTTGTTTGCTCATCTATGCTTTCTAAGGGATATGTTTGAATCATTTATACAAAAAATGAGCCAAATTTCTTAACCTCTTCTTCCTATTTCTTCACCTTTTTCGTGTACAATTTTGCAAAGAGCTTTTTTTCTCTCTCAATTGTACAAAGTACAATAGTTTCATTTGCAATTACGTTCAATTATCAATCTTTTATCTCTAACCCAAAAAGTGATAGTAGTCAAGTTGCAATTTAGGATATATAGGATATAAGTCAAATTTAAGGAAAATTATTACATTGCTATTTATTTTTTCAAATCTATCCAGGCCAATTTGATCTTTCTAACTGCAAGAAATAAATGAAATCAAACATGAGCAAATTTTACAAAATCAATGTGCTTATGTTTACCAATTATATATACCAAGGTGAAAATTGGTTGTATATTGCATGAATTGTTTACAAGTTTTCCAAATGTCTTACATACTCATAAAACACATGATCAAAAAATTTGTTAAGGTCATTCTCTTTTTCTTGAAAAAAAAAAATATGGAGTAGGTAGTTGTATAAATACAAAACCATTAGATCGTAAAGTCTCTCTATCTAGTCTACTTTTTTTTATAATCAAGATCCATCGTTAAATCTATGATTTGTAGTTGATACAATAAACATTGAGCAATATCTCACAATTTGATATAATGGTCCCTTGTTATCAAGAATGCATAAGGTGAGCAAAGTAGCGGATCATGCACCAGGACAAATCAAAATCCTTAAACTAGATTAATTTAATTAATAATGATTAACACTAATAATGTTACCATTGACTGAGGAGCTAATCCAATCCTTAGCTAGGCCACTGGCATGCCCTATCTAAGCATGCATTAACATGGCCAGATCATCTAGTCACCTTCACATATAGCCAAGAACAATGAAAAAAATAAACTCGTTAATGACTTCTGCTATTGCACAATTTTTTTATATAACCTAAAATTCTCATTAGTAATCACATTAAATCTAATTGTTTCCTGAAGGACTAATCCAAAATGAATTAGGGTTTAAGTTAGGAATAGTATACTCCACCACAATCAATCAAAATTAACTTCACAATAGCCAACTTTTTTTTTTTTTTTTAATTTTTTTTTAGGGTTTAAGTTAGGAATTACTCCGTAGTATTTAGTACTCTTTTGCATTATTACATTATTCTCCTATGTGTATAAATAATAACTTCATAAAAGCCAAGTCACAATCAAAATCAAAATAAAACAACCCCTTAATAAAAATTCGTAATGTCACAAATTAAATCTTACTCCTATCCCCCTTTTTTTTTCAACTTTTCCAGTCTAGACAGTTCTAAACTACGTGTAATTTTAAACAGGTCTATGATGCTTTTATTGGATATATATTTTCTCAATGTCATATTTTATTACTTATTTTACTATTCTTCATAAAACTCCGCGCATGAAAAAATTGAGCAAGTATTTGAATACGGAGAGAGTATAATAGAATTATTTAGAATCACATTAATCTTTTTTTTTATATTTGTCAAAATTATTTCTAAATAGTGTAGATTATGTGAGATCGATTGCAAATATAAGAATTGACCAAATAATTAGGCAACAATGCACATGTAGCAAGTACAAAATTCCCTATTCATTTGTTCACCTAATATGTGTGACAAACTGTCGAAACAACAATAATAACAATACATCTAACACTCGTCAAAAGACATACTTCCTTCGTTACTCAATAGCTACACAATTTCTATTTTAAAGTCAAATATTAAAATTTTAACCATAAGTTCAATATAACACCTTGAAGTTGTCTCGATATGTATTTTTAAAAGTTAATTTTTCTATTTATAGTTTTTTTTAGCAAGACACAATTATGATTTATGATATTCATGAAATGAAATTATGGTCAAAGTATTCCATTAGGAACCGTGAATAAGCAATTGGCGTAACTATATGTCAAGATAGTCAACATCCTTGACTATACTAGCCAATACGAGTACTTACGAAAACTACATAGCCAAAATTAAGAAGCATTTTGGAAGGTTTAGTAAAGAGACAGGGGCATTTTGGGAATGTAATCACATGGGTTGTTACTTTTAAAAAAGGGATGGGATACTGGGGACGAGGTGAGACAGAAAAGAATCCGAAGAATGCACGTGAGTGGAACCCGAGAGTGTTGTAGAAGTAGGCCTCACTGGATTACCAGTAGACTTCTTCATTCATTACTTTTACTGTAGACCCACGTCTACTGCTTGAGCGTGGGTATCACTCTAACCACGAGTGGCCTTGTTCCTAGATTTTCCACGCACCCAGAAGGGTGGAAGAGGGTTGCTTCTTGCTATTGTCGAGCTACAATAAGGGCTCTATTGAACCAAATTGTAACATTCTACCTTATATCAAGTCGTATTCGGGTGATGGATTGATGAGTCGGATTATTTACAATTGTATGTTTAGTATCAAATATGTTTAATATCCAGTTTATATGTATTGAACCAACTTGATTCGAATTAGAGGGTACTATGTAATTGAATTTTAACTCGCAAGAAGTTATTATTATTAATTTCATTTTATTTTATTTTATTTTAATAAATTTTGTCCAAGTTCTCTTAAAAAAACGTTAGTAGCATCTAAATTCACTAACCTTAAAATCTAAATATTGACCTAACTTGATAAGTATTAAGGTCCAACATTAACTCATTAACACTTGATCAACTCAATACAATAAATCCAAACTAAATCAAACAATGGAATAGTCGAATGGATTCGACCAAGCTAGCATAGTAGACTGAACGTGACTTGATTGGATTGATTCATTTATCACCTCTTATCAATACGTATTTTGTACGATATTAATTATACGATAAAATCAATCAATTGAATTAAAAGAAAGCCTATATGAGGATACAAGTTCTTGTAGTGTCAAAATCCCATATTGACAATTTGACATGTCACATGTTGCCATACTGGAACCCACACTTAATCTATGTCTTGTGGTGGACGAGTACAATTGGGTAGGAAGATTGCAAAGGTGTACTAATTACGCTGATAAATAGAGACAATGACATGAAAGATTACTTTAATATAAAGGGATACGTAGGTGGATTTTAGTATTAGAGGGGTCAAATGGACAGAAATATTAATAATTGTAATCAATAAGATAAGTGGGAAACCCTAACTTCCCCAAACTCCAAAGAGAAAATGATGTTAGTAGTAGTAAAAGTGGGTGGGTCAAAGAGTCAAGACTCTTGAGAAAGAGAAAAAGGGCAAAACTTTATTTGACCAACCATTTAACACAAGAAGATGACAACACAAGTATTGTAAAGCTACTCTTTTTTTGTAAAATTATTAACCAAATATATTAATTAATTAGCTTCTTATCTCTTCAAAAACAAATAAATAAAGCTTAAGTTAGGGCCACCTTTTAATAAATTCATTCATAACCATAAGTGCTATCTTCCCAAGTTCCAACCCCTAATTTCAGGCGTGTGTGAGTGTTATGTTATAATGATTGCTTTCTCTCTTCTTTTTTTTTTTTCTTTCTTTTTTTTTTCTTCTCATTTTTGATGTTTGGACTTATGAGTTGTGAGGCCCATTTACTTCTTACACGCAAATTGGGCCCTCTTGGTCGTTTTAACCGGCCCACAAATGAGTGATTTAAGATACAATCCATTTAGTACATGTATGTGACTGAAGTGAGCCAGTTAAGTGTATCTAGACTAATTGGTTTTTAGACTGACTTTTAGATAAGACTAAACTCTAAAGTACTTCAGACCCAAATTAATAAGAGAAATGGTTTTAGCTCGAGATACTCAAATTCAAGTTGATATACATGTTGAGTATGGCCGGACCTGAACAAGCTCGAATTTGAGTAGCTAACATCTGTTTTAGCAGGGGTGTGCCTTCTAAGCTCGAGCTTTGTCCAGTTCATTATCACCCGCGATATCCAATAAACCAATGCATTAAACGTAGGTGGATTTGGGTAGGACCTAGATAACATCATGTCCTCATTAAGATGAGTAGAGAGACATAACAGCGAGCATTAATCCCACCTCAACAGCTTAGCTACTGAAAATTATTATTGCCAGCTAAGAGAAGCAGATCAAGCCAAGAATATACTAAGAAATGCAACATTCTTTGATCAAGTTCTAATTACATCTGAAAGAGCTGATCATAAATAATATACCAATGACAATTTTTTTTAAAAACAAATTTATTCATGTTTGGGATTTAACTAACTTCAAGAACATCGTATGACTACACACAGAATGTAAAGCAAGGAATATTTTTTTTGTTTTGTTTTTGCATGATTTCAGTTCCCGTATAGATAGGTGTATACTGTGTTCATCATTAGGAACTGCCTCTTACAAGATACTGGTGATTTATAGAAATATAAATTCTGTATAAGAAAATTGGAAAGTACAATTGGTGAGTCAAGGGAATCTGAAATTAGATCCATTAATACCATAATTAACAACAATTTTATCTTCCTTAATTTAAATGGCATTATAATGTCAGACTAAGAAAGGTCGACATGAGTTATGTGTATCGAACAGCATTATTGTATTCCAATCCCACTTTTTCAGTGGTAGAAGCCCTTCCAAGTTCATGAAGCACACTTAAGTAGCCTGCTTTGCTGCTCAAAATGTTCGCAAAATTTTAATACAAAATATTAAACGATATACTTACTGCTGCTCAATCTCTTCGATTCTGTGGCTCTGTGCCCTTTAGAATCAACAAGGAGCAAGGAATTTAATGGGAAATGCCAACACCTCTTAATAGTTAATTCTAGCTTAAAAGTTCAGCGCATGTCTAAAGTTCAGAGAACAAGCTCCACCAGCGCACTTTCAACCTTAACACGAGCACAATTGACTAAAACATCAATACAAAATCACAAATAAAAGCAATAAATTAAATAAAAATAAATAAAGAAAAACAAATCAGTTGGTATCAGGAATGGGGTCTTACTTTGTACTGTACTCAGTAGCAGACTTTGTCTTTCATTGTCAAGCAGCTAGACAGACTTCGGCCCTCAATCAATCTGGTGGGTTCATAACTTCTGAAAATTGATCAAGTACTGTATTACAAGAGTCAGAAGCCAAGGTGTAAGTCATGTAATCCTAAGCACAAAGAAGAGAAGTTCGTATATTCAGTTAATCTGTTTGGTTTTTCTGAAATATCCTTATGTAGTATGTGCAAGTTATTTTTGAGGCAGAAGGTGTTGATGATTCTAGAGGTTCAGTTCAAAGGAAAATAGGAAGGTTTTCAGTTCAGTAGTTAGTTATGTAAAAGGTTTTGATACACTGCTGAGAGGAAGATCAAGCCATGCATATACTTCTAGGCAATGCACCTTAATCCAGTTCTAATTCCGAGTACATCTGTAAGAGCTGATCAGAAACATTATACGAAGACTTCCTTAAAAAACAAATTCAGTCACGTGTTGGGGATTAAACCAACAACTTCAAGAACATTGTTTTTTTTTATTATTTATTTTTTTTTTAAAATGGTAAGAAGAAGGGGCTCATTTGAGGGGGGAATAAGAAAAATCCCTCAAATGAGTCCCATGAAATTTGATCCCTAGACCTCAAGAATATGAGGTGAGAGCGATGTCACTAGTTCACTACTCCATCACCTCAATCTCACTTCAAGAACATTATATGCCGGCACAAAAAATATAAAGAAAGAAAATGTTTTTGTTTTTTGCATAATTTCAGTTCCTATATAGATGTATATTGTGTTCATCATTCAGGAACTGCCTCTTACAGGATACAGCCATGCTGATCTACCCGAAATATATAAATAAACTGTAAAATAACATTGCCGAGTCAAGGAAATCTGAAAGTAGATCCATTATTACCCTATAACAACAATGATTATATCTTCCTATTATTAATTAAATGGCACAATAATGTCAAACTAAGAACCATGCAGCAGGTCAGTAAAACATACAGATATAAACACAGGACAATGCCTGCATGTCTGATTATTTCAAACAGGCAAAAACAAATCATGCCTCATACTGTCAAACATATGATTGTACGATTTGTTTGGCAATTGACAAGATTACGCCCCAAAGAATTTCATAATGGACATATGAAACAAAAAAAGGCTCGCCGATGAAATCATGAAAGGAAAGAAGACATGGTATTTGATAATACAAGGTTGTTCTGTTGACACTTGACAGTAACTCACAGTAAAATGAAGAAAGTGTTCAGTATAGGGCCAAAGAGGGGGCACAGACTATCACAAAGATCATCAGCTCTTTTAGAAGAGATTCCAACATCATAGGCATAAGGCATTGCCCTTATATGAAAAAAGACTGAAAACCTTATGTGACTGGATGGGCTCTCTTGTACCCAACCCAGATTGATTGCTAGCTTCTGCAAGATGTGCTGCCCACAAGTAATCATGCAGAGCAGCGATCATTCCACATGCATTCTTGCAATAAATTTAACTCGTTTAAGCATAAATAATAGCTAATGAGGATGACTATTTGAACTAATACAACAAAGAATATGGAGTAGTGACTAACCTAGCTGCAAGCTTCAATATAGAATAGCATCCACATTTCATCTTCTACAGGTCTTTATCAATTCCAGACATAGCTCTAAGGTACCTCTTTTCTTTGCACTTTTCTGCTTTTCATTCCCGGTCACAGGCTTATAACATCTGCTAGCAAATGCCTCCCAAGTATCATAAGTAACAAATCTCATTGAGGTCTATGAAACTAAAGGCTGCAACACCACTCACAAGAGTGAATACACCATCAAGTTAAAGGTTCATAGGCCACCCTGACACCACAAAATGTTAAATCATACTAACACCATATGATTTGGGTAGGACCTAGATAACCTCATGTCCAACATAATTTTCATTAAGATGAGAAGAGACATCTAGCAAGCATCAATCCCACCTCAACAACTTAACTACTGAAAATTATTATAGCCAGCTGAGAGGTCAATGTGAGTAATGTTGTATCTAACAGCATCATATTTCAATCCCAACATCCCAGTTATATAAGCCTTTTAAGTTCATGAAGCACACTCAAGTAGCCTGCTTTGCTGCTCATTCTTTTTGCAAGATTTTAATACAACTATGAAACAAAACGCTCACTGATCTATTCAATCTCCTCGATTCTGTGCACTCTTGAGTCAAGAGCAAGGAATTCAATGAGATATGCCAACATGAGAGCCAATGCCTCTTGATTCTAGCTTATAAGTTCAGCATCCCCAGCATGTCTAAATTGTTCAGAGAACAAAGCTCCAGCAGCACGCTTAAAACCTTAGCATGAACACAACTTATTATCACGTCATAGTACACTAATCCAGTACACATTAGTTGTTTATCAAGAATGGAGGCTTACTTTGTTCAATACCCAAAAGCAATACTTCTTCATCTATCATTGTCAGGCAGCGAGACTGACTTCGGCCTTTAATCAATCTGGTGGGTTCATAACTTCTGAAAGTTTAGCGCTATATTACAATCATGTAATCCTAAACACAAATAAGAAACATTCTTATATTCAATTTGGGTTTTCTGGGATATCCTTATGTATTATGTGCCTATGCGCAATTTATTTTTGAGACGGAGGAAATTAATGTTAAAAACTCAAAAGGTTCAACTCAAAGAGAATAGGAAGGTTTTTGGTTCGGAAGTGAATTGTGAAAAGGTTTTTAATATACTGCTGAGAGGCATATCAAGCCATCAAGAATATACTTCTAAGAAATGCAACATTCCTGATCAAGTTCTAATTACAAGTAAATCTGAAAGAGCTGATCATAAATACTATACCAATGACATTTTTTTAAAAAACAAATTCATTCACATGTTTGGATTTAACTAACTTTAAGAACATTGTATGACATAACACAAAATATAAAGCAAGAAATTGTTTTTGTTTTTTGCATAATATCAGAAAGTGTATATTGAGTTTGTCATTTAGGAACTGCCTCGTATAAATTACTGCTGATCTACCACAAATATAAATTTAGTACTTCGTATAAGAAATAAATTGGAAAGTACCATTGGCGAGTCAAAGAAATCTGAAATTAGATCCATTATTACCATAAATTAACATCAATTTTTTCTTCCTTAAATTAAATGGCACAATAATGTCAAACTAAGAAAGGTCGACATGAGTTATGTGTATCTAACAGCATTATACTCCAATCCCACTATCTCAGCTATAGAAGCCCATCCAAGTTCATGAAGCACACTCAAGTTTTTTGCAAAATTCAATGGGATTCAATGGGAAATGCTAACACCTCTTGATTCTAGCTTAGAAGGTCAGCAGCCCCAGCATGTCTAAAATTTAGAGAGCAAGCTCCACCAGCACACTTACAACCTTAACACGAGCACGATTGACTATCATGTCAGTACAAAATTACAAATACAGCAATAAATAATGAAATTACATCGGTTGTTTATCAGGAACGGCATCTTACTTTGTACAATTGTACCACACTCAGTAGCAGTATTTTGTCTATCATTGTCAGGCAGCTAAACTGATTTCGGCCCTCAATCAATCTTGAGGGTTCATAAATATTGTATTACAAGAGTTAGAAGCCAAGATGTCATGTAATCCTTAGCACAAAAAAGAGACTCATAAGTTTAATTTGGCTTTTCTGAGAAAATGATATCCTTTGTTATTTTTAAGGCAGAAGGTCTAAATGTTGTAGAGGCTCAGTTCAAACGAAAATAGGAAGGTTTACTGATCTAGTTCTAATTCTGAGTACATCTACTGATCTAGTTCTAATTCTGAGTACATCTGTAATAGCTTATCAGAAACATTTTACCAATGACATTTAAAAAAAAACAAACAAACAAACAAATTCATTCAAGTGTTTGGAATTGAACTAACAACTTCAAGACATTGTATGACAGCACACAAATATAAAGAGAGAAAAATGTTTTTGTTTTTTGCATACTTTTAGTTACCATATAGGTGTATATTGTGTTCATCTTTCAGAAACTGCCTCTTACAGGATATTGCTGATCTACCCGAAATGTATAAATAAACAGGAAAATACTAGGAAATCTGAGAGTAGATCCTATATTACCATAGATTAACAACAATAATTACGTCTTCCTATTATTAAATGGCACTATATTGTCAAACTAAGAACCATGCAGCAAGTCAATATAACACAAAGATACAAACCCAGGACAAGCCTGCATGTCTGATAATTTCAAACAGGCAAAAACAAATCATGCCTCATACTGTCAAACATAGGATTGTAAGGCAATTGACAAGCACAAGATTACACCCCAAAGAATTTCATAATGGACATATGAAACAAAAAAGGGCCCACCGATGAAATCATGAAAAGAAAAAAGCCATGGGTTTACACAGGTTGATCAGTTGACTGTAACTCACAGTAACTGAGGAAAGTATTCGATATAGGACGGCCGCGGGGGGGGGGGGGGGGGGAGCACACTATCTGCACAAGCATCACAAAGGGCATCTGCGAATTTAAAAGAGATTCCCTTACTCCATATGAAAAAAGACTGAAAACCTAATGTGACTGGATGGGCTCTCTTATACCCAGATCGATTGCTTGCTTCTGCCTGATATGCTGCCCACAAGTAAATCATGCAGAGCAACGGTCAAGCCACCTGCATTCTTGAAACAAAATATACTCGTGTAAGCATAAAAATAGCTAATGAGGGATGTTTATTTGAATCAATCCAACTAAGAATTCGGAGTAGTAACGAACCTAGCTGCTAGCTTTAATATAGAATAGCATCAGCATTCCATCTTCTACAAGTCAATCAATTCCAGACGTAGCTCTTAATGTACCTCTTTTTTTTTTGCACTTTACTGCTTATCATTCCCTGTCACAGGCTTATAACATCTGCTAGCAAATGCCTCCCAAGTTATACATCAGTTTATGGCCCATAAGATCATCACAATCATATTGTAATACGAACCCTTGAGACTCAATCAACTAACACATCTTGTTAAAGTCTATGAAACATAGGTCTATCACAATCTTATTGTTGACGGCCCCAACAACACTCACAAGAGCGAATACATTTTCAAGTAAAAGGTTCATAGGCCTAACACCACAAAATGTTTAACACGCTAGAACACCAAATTCTGAGAGTTCAGCAAATGCACCCACAGGGAACAATGGAACACTGAGCTTCACCAGCCAAACTTTATATTTTAGTCCTGTACCAAAATTGGATGAGCTAACACTAAATTGATTGTTTACATCCCATCATCACAATCCATGAATCCGGATTGTAAAGCATCACCAAATTACAGCTCCACCTAAGTCCAAACCTCAAAAATGCACCACAATATTTTCATCAAGTTATAGCTTTGGTCCAAATGCTTACTCCGGAAATGCTATGTCACCCAAATCTGAAATATGAACTTATTAACATCATTAAGGTACAGTTTAACCAATGTTCAACCCTATTTCTACATCAAATAGCTCAGTATAATCAGACTGGTCAACTACATCAATTACTTTTTAATTTCTCAAGATTACAATTCAAAAGTGTAATCTAACAAGTATGTAACATTAACTGGTTAGCAATTGAGGTGGTAAACTAATTCTCAACTGTTAACATTCAGCAAAATTCAATTACGAAAACTTGCATTCAAAGCTTAGTTATTATTCAAAATTATGCATTGTATTAACAAAGTAAAATACAAATCCAACCACTGACCCATAAAATAACTTCATAATTTTCACATCAAAAGTTGCAAAATAAAGTCAATCTACAATAATATATCAAAACTTATACAAGCATTCAATAACAAATTATAGCATTCCAGAACAAAAATTAAATTCAATAGCAGCTAAAATAGACGAAAATCAGTCATATTCAATCAAACACAATTATAAATTAACAAAACAGAAACAGAATCACCATATATATTCATTAAGAAAATTAGATAGTCAATAAAATTATTGACTAACCATCACAATACACCGATAACTACATAATACAGATCATAAACTAATTTCATTTAAAGATCATCAGCATAATACAAAATAAAACCCTAACCCTAGATATTCCAATTCAAACAGAAATCAAGCCCTCTCACCACGAATCCTTCGGGCAAGCTGAATATCCTTAGGCATAATAGTAACCCTCTTAGCATGAATAGCGCAGAGGTTAGTATCCTCAAACAGACCCACCAAGTACGCCTCGGCAGCCTCCTGAAGAGCGGCAACAGCAGAGCTCTGGAAACGAAGATCAGTCTTGAAATCCTGAGCAATTTCTCTGACAAGCCTCTGGAATGGAAGCTTCCTGATGAGAAGCTCAGTGCTCTTCTGGTACTTCCTGATCTCACGAAGCGCAACGGTTCCGGGTCTGAAACGGTGGGGCTTCTTCACTCCGCCGGTGGCTGGGGCTGACTTCCGGGCTGCCTTGGTGGCGAGTTGCTTTCTTGGGGCCTTTCCTCCGGTGGATTTTCTGGCGGTTTGCTTGGTTCGCGCCATTGTTGAAGATGAGAGAGAAGGTTAAGCTTTTTAGAGAGAGAAGGTTAAGCTTTTTAGAGAGAGAAAGTTGATTGAGGTTTTTTAGAGAGAGAATGTATGGAAGAGAATGATGAAGGCGGGATTGCTGGTATTCTGGAGAGTAATGAGAGGTTGTTTTATAAAGAGGGATGAAATAAGGGTGGGAGTGAGGAATGAAATCTTGACCGTTGCTAAGTGGAATGCTTAATCTACGGTTGAGGGTTGTTTATGAGAGTTTACACGGATTGTGGATCGATGACGTGGTGTACTACTTCCCGCTTTACTTTTTGGTGTAACATTTTGAATTTTATGAAAAATATTTAATTGTATTTCTACGGCGGCTCCGTCGTTCTTTAAAAAAAATTTGTGTGGAGGTGTTGGTGATTTGCCACTTAGTTCCATTCATCAACCAATCTAAATTTTTAGGGGTTTTTTTTTTTTTCCTATTTTGTGATTCACTATTTAACTTTTTTTTTTTTTTTTTTCAGGCAATAGTTTAATTTTTACACTATTTATAAGCACAACTTTAATTAATTTTAACAATTTATTAGTATGTGCCCCGGGCGTTGCCCTGAATATCTATTTTAGAGAGTGCACTTATTTGTTGTTTTGTATTATAATTATAAGTATGATAATTATTAGTATTTATATATTTTCAAAATGTTAGATACAAAAAGGGAGTATGAACACTACCTGTTTGGGTCCGATTTAGTCAACCTAATTGGGCCAGTCCAAATGATTAAATTACAAAAGCCCAAAGTAAGGTTCAACTCTCCAAAGCATGCTAAAAGTCAACCAAGCCCAATCAGCATGGCAAGCCCATGTGACTTTAGGGCTCATTCCTCATATTTTGAGCAAAGGTATAAAAGACATCAATTGTCTCATTTATCATTCATTCACATTAAGCCTCAAGCAATTAATTCTCTTGCATAGTTTATTCTCTCTACGCACTGAGCTGACTTTAGCATCGGAGGGGCCTTTCTCGGCAACCACCCCCGAGGCTAGTTTACGTGTGTTTTGCTGTGCAAAAACCCTCGGCCCATTCATCAGTTAGTCCGAGATCAGTCTTCTCTCTTGAAAAGGGCCTGCTGATGGTCCTATTGTCCGAGATCAGTTTGCTCCCTTGAAAAGGGTTTGCCGATGGTCCTATTGTTTTCTTACCGAAACACTACCTATTATTCTTTTTTCACGTTTGTTATTATTTCCTGTTTTTGTAAGTTGCACTATGTTCACTTGGTCTACTACAATCAATGTTTTTAAAATTTACATAAAAAAATATAATTAAGATATTGTTTATCAAAGTTTAATGTCGACATATGTGCTAAATTTTAATGGGACACTAACATAATAGATGGAGTAATTTGTGAAAAAGAAGAGTGTGTCGGTTAAAAAAATAATAAAATAAATAAAAAGTTAAAAGTAATTTTTTTTAACACCTAAAATCAACAGATTAGTCTTTACCATGGGTTATTTTATAAAAAGTTGAATGTGGTGTGCTTGTTCCAATAAAAAGAGTTAGTTATTCTTTACAGTGGGTTATTATATAATAAAAAGTTAGGTGCTATTGTTAGAGACTTACTTTTTCATCGGCTAGGATCATGCCAATTCTTATAAACTGATTGTTCTTATTTAGGTTTAATACTTCCCACAATCTAGTGATCTTTACTTTCAAAATCCAGTCTTGTTTGTCGTTATTGATTTCTAAATCATTGATCAAATTATAATTTACTTGTTTATGTAATATTCTATGCCTGTGAATGGTTAGAACAAAATTTTGTAAACATTAATTGAGAAATTTGAGTTAACATAAAAAAAAAAAAGCAAAAAGAAACTAATTGTAGTATTAAATTTAATAGTACCTTTTATCCTTTATTGCTTCCATTCTTCTTAAAATAGGCCGAAATAATAATAATATGATTAGCATTAAAAAAAAAATTATTGAAACGTTTTTTAAGTGAAAAACCCGCAAAATTCTAAGACCTTGCTAACATTGATCTGAATTCACTTCAAGATCCCTTGTATTGTACAATTTATGTTGTGTCGTCCAAATTTAATAGTTTTTTACTTCTTTAATTTCATTAACAAAATAAAAAACATACACAAAAATATTACAACCGAATATGAAGAATACTTGATTCAAAAGATTTGATGGTAAATTAATGGTAGACTAAAAAAATTAATGATACATGGTCATATTTATAATTATAATTACGTGGTTATTTGTATAGGAGTAAATTTTATTGTTAATTGGATATTCATATTAATTATAATATCTACTGTGTTGCTATAAGTAAAATTGAATTGTCAATAAAAAGATAAATTTTTTTTCAAAAGAATTAATAATTATTTTATGTATACTTTTTTATGCTAAACAAATCTATCCAATAATATAACGTAACATCTAATCTAATAACAATAACATCTAATTGTCACCTACGTGGCTCGACACTTGGCAAAAAATTGGAATGCCAAGTGTTGTTGTCTCGTGGTATGGCTGCGAGACTGGCTTTATTTATTAGTCACTAGTTTTGTGCCCGGGGGTGATGCCTAGATTGTTGATAAAATTTTAGGATAAACTTTTGGCTTAAATGTTAAACATGGGCATATAATCCCTTTTGATAATGCAAGATATTTAGACATACAATATCATATAATAGTGTACTTTTTGTAGTTTTGTTTGTAAACAGATATCTATGTTATTATTGACTTGAAATTATTGTTATTGAACTTAAATTATTTTTACTGAACCGAAATTATTTTTACCAAACCAAAATTATTTTTATTGATTAAAACTTATTTTTTTACTGGTTCGCTATTATTTTTTTTAACTAAATTAAATATATTATAAATGGATCTTGTTATAAACAACTTTTTGAAAAGAATTTTATGATGAAAATTAAACCATGTTATACAATATTTATTAAAAGTTATGATTAACTTTGTATATATGAAATCTTAGAAGTATAGTGATAATAAAACTCTATACAACATTTTTTATCTTAAAAAAATTAATCCAAGAATCGCTTACTTAACAACATATGTGTCACAATAATACATATTTGTCGCCTACGTGGCGCGACACTTGACGAAAAACTGGAATATCAAGTGTCGTTGTGTCGTGACCTAGTTGCGAGACCGACT